GGGACAGCATTCAGAGCCCCGGATGTCCAGAAGCAAGAAGAAAAGCAGCGGTGATGTGCAAGCACAAAGCAATATACACTGGACATTTGTGTCCAAGGTATCTTAAGACTCACTTTGTTAGGCTTATGAATGAATCTGACTAACAAATGTTCTCCCAGAACAGAACTCCTTTGTAAGCCACGGCTGACTGTACACAGTGAGACCCAACCTGAACTTTTTTTTCCCCTTTGCTCCCATAGCAAGACAAGCATCACCAGTTCAGGCTGGTAGTGAAGTTTCCTAGTGTCAGGTACTCACCCTGCTTTAGCTATGGCAGGCACCCGGACCTGTGTGGTCCAGGATGCTTCCCACTACCCCCGTGTTCCAGCCAGGGGGAGGAGGAAGAAGAAATGGATATTCGGGCTGGTGAGATGGCTCAGTGGTCTAAGGCACCTACTTAGAACAAACTAAGCTAAACAAAGCACAGGGACCGCAGTTCAAACCCCCAGCACCGCATGCCAGCCAGCCCCGCCCCCTGGTGGGCTGCGCTGGCCACACACACAAAATAAATAAATAAATAAATAAAGTTTAAAAAAAAATGGATATTCCTTCTGATGTTCCTTAAGACTAAGTTTTAGTGTATATGCTGCTGAGACTTCACTCCGCAGCACCGCACTACGTCACTCCTTCAAAGCAAGTGAACCAAGAGGTGCAGGCATAGCCTTACTGACTAATTTAGTCTCCCCTAAAGACCATTTTCTCTTTAGGAACTTTCCAGGGGAGAGTAGATGTATAAAGCAAGTGAAGGAGAAGCATAAGAAAAAGTAAATAGCACTGAACAAGGCAAGCTTGGCAGAGCTGGGGAGATAATTCAGCAGTCTAAGCGCCTTTCTGGCAAACCCAAAGACCCAGATTCAATCCCAGTTACCGCATGCTGTCAGAGCCAGCCACCAAAACTGGGAGTGGTGATACATGCCGGTAATCCCAGTGCTAAGGGGGCTGAAACAGGAGAATCACTATGAGTCTAAGCTGGATAGTGAGACCCTGTACCAAATACATAAATTAAAACAGCTCCTTTGGGTCCTTTCCAAGATGATGAAAAAAAGAAGGAACAACAGTCCTGCTAAAAAGGGCCATGGTCATGTGCAGCCTATTTGCAGCACCAACGGTGCCTGGTGCGTACCCTAGGATAAGGCCATTAAGGAGTTGGTCATTCGGAACATGCTGGAGGCCGCAGCTGCCAAGGACACTTCCGAAGCGAGGGTCTTTGACAGTTATGTGCTTCCCAAGCTGTATGTGAAGCTGCATTACTATGTGAGTTGTGCCATTCACAGCAAAGTGGTCAGAAATCTTTCTCGTGAAGCCCGTAAGGACCGAACTCCTCCACCCCGATGTAGACCTGCTGGTGCTGCCCCATGACCTCCGCCAAAGCCCATGTAAGGGGAGCTGGGTCTTAATGGACTGAAGAAAACTCTCTTGAGAAAGAATGAATTACATTTTATACTTTAAAAAAATACAGGGGAAACAACCCACTCGGGCCCCCCTCCTGTCCCTCTCTCGGACAGGAGCTTTCTTTCCCTCAATAAATATATTCTGCTCATAAAAAAAAAAATACATGAATAAGTTAATTAAAACAAAGAGCTTAACAGTCTAGTGAAGAAAACAAAGAAACTGGAGTAATAAATGTTGTAATCAGGGCCTGAAAGGGAAAGGAATATAGGACATGTAATTTATAGAATTACTTTAGAATATTTATTTATTTATTTATTTATGGTGGAACCGGGGATTGAACTCAGGCCCTTGCGCTTGCACTTATTCTACTGAGCCATCTCCCCATTCTACTGACCCCTACTTTAGAATATTTAGCCAAGGGGTCAAATGGAAAAGTGTGGGAGATATATTCACGCGCTAGAGACCCAACGAATTGAGGTGATGGGCTAGAGCTGAGGGGCTAGACCCCACTGTCATGTCCTCCACAAGTGCAGCTGGAGGTCCAGAGCCATGACAATGTCTCACGTAAGTCTGTATCAAGGAGCTGCCCTGGAAAGCTAGAAAGTCTGCACCAGCACGACAAAGGATCTGTGCCAGCAGGCTGAGGGATCTGCACTGGAGCCAGGAAACACTGCTCAAGATAAGGACTAGAGCTGCCCTGAGAAGAACCGCAGGCATCCTGACCTCCTTCAGTGATGAGAACAGCGAGTTCATACTGGGAAAACCAGCGCAACGAACTTCTCCAGGAGATTCAACAGCGCACCATCTTCCCCACCAGAGCCAGGAAATGATGTTCCAAGTAAGGATCAGAGCTCCCCCAAAGTGAACCTCTTTGCCGTCCTCAGAAAGAAAACCAACTCAACCCACCTCTCCAGGAGAACCAACAGCACCCCAGGTTCCCCTCCAGTTCTCTCTCTATGCTGTTGGCAACAATCCTCAGATGGACCCTCTGAACCCAGCACCCACCGATTCAGTTCAGCTAGTTGTTACAAGTAAGCCACCGGTTGTGAACTCACCACAATAAATAAACTACATAAACCAGGCATGCACCACCATGACTGTAATCATAACACTCTGAGAGGCAGAGGCAGGAGGACTGGAAGTCTGAGCCCAGCCTGGGTAATTTGTGGTTTAGTGAAACCCTGTCTTAAAATAAAAAAAAAGAGTTAGGGAATATAGTTTTATTTCTGTTTGTAGACTCTGAGTTCAAACCCAGTATCACAAAGCAACAAGTAAACCCTACCTAACTAGCAGGTGTTGAATGAAAAGAGCAGTGTGTGGGGTGGGGATTAAGTCAGAGATCTGAATGGTCTTTCCCTCTTTCCTGAGAGCATTAGGTGGATAGATGTGAGCAGCCCAGAGGTCTGGCTTGAGGTCTTGGTTCCAGAGAAGCACCCACATGAGCCAGAGAAGGCTTTAAGGACACTGCGTGCTTTGCAGCCTCCTTGTCATGTCCAGGTTCAGCTGGGAACATCTAGCTCAAGCTGCTTGGGGAGCTTCACCCATTCTCCAAGGGATGGAAGGGAGGACAGAGTGGTGACAGGACTGATCAGCACAGACTAGGTGGCTGGGGTGAGAAAAAAAATTTTTTTTTTGGAAGCAAGGTTTTGTTGTGCAGTCCAAGCTGGCCTCAAACTCACAGCCATCCTCCTGCCTCAGCCTCGTGAGTACTGGGATTACAGGCGTGTGCTACCATGCCAGGCTACAAGCAGTTCTGAGGATGAAACTGGCAGCGTCACCCGAACTTTGGGTGGGTGTGGACCCAGGGAGGCCTCCCTAGAAAAGGAGACTTCTGAGCTCACACGAAAGCCTGTGTAAATACACAACTGAGTAAAAAACAACAACAAAAAAGGAAGAGTGTTCCAGACAGAGGGCACAGTTTATGCAAAGACCCAGCAGCGAGTGCGCCTGAGGACTGGACAGAGAACTGAAGCTGCTCAGTCTGGCAGGGAGGGTGTGGCAAGCAAGGAATCCAGATGAGTCACCACCAAGAGATTTATCATAAGCCAAGCCCAGGTTCTGACCCGGTCCTGCCACCTTCTGTGACCCTCGTGTTCAACTTCTTTCCTGCTCCATCTTGCCTCACACACAAGACTTGAGTTGCACCCTCTTGGCCTGACCCCAGCAAGCCCTGAGGAAGGATTCTACTACTGCAGCTTTGTCTGTTACGTCTCATTATTTGCCCTATTACCATATTAATTCTTGAACAGTCATTGCTTGAGGGTGGTGGTTAAGGGTTAGGGAGCCCAGCTGCCTGAGTTTAACCTCAGAGTTAGTTTACATTTCTATAAAATAGGGATAATAAGTGGCATCTATCCCACTGGGCTGCCATGAGAATAAGTCAGCTGAGACATTGGAGACGATGGGGAGATGGCTTGGCAGTTATTGTTGTTATTATTATTATTGGTGGAACCAGGGATTGAACTCATACCCTTGCACTTACCAGGGAAGCACTTATCCTACTGAGCCATCTCCCCGGCCCTTTGTCATTATTATTTAATGGTGGAGTCCAGAAAATGGAACGGGCACTCACAGGTTGGAGGACAAATAAAAGGATCTAAAAGCAGCTTCTGCTGTGGTTTCCCTCCTCCTTCCTCAGGGACCTCTGGAAGTCTGGCTTCCCTGTAGTCCCTGCACCGTGGGAGGCTCAAGCAAGATAATCGCAAGGTTGAGCCCAGCCTGGGCAATTTAGCGAGACTCTGCCATTCATTAGTAACAAAGGGACCAGGTATGTGGGTCAGTGCGAAGGTCCTGGGCTCCGTGGCGCACACCTGCAATCCCAACACATGGGTGGCTGAGGCAGGAGGATCACCATGAATTCGAGGCCCCCCTGGGCTACATAGTGAGTTCAAGGCTATCGCAAATTTATAGTGAACCCTGTCTCAAAAAAACTTACCGAAGGAAAAAAACAAAACCATACTAAAAATAGGTCTAAGTCCAAGGACTCTTCCCGTATCCAGGGTTCTCTTTAGAGACTGAGAGACACTTTAGGATCGTTCAAGGAAAAAAAAAAAAAAATCTCTCAAGCCCTGACCTGGCAGGAGGTGCAGGGTAAGGGATGCAGTGGGAGATGGCACAGGATGACCTTCGTAGGCCGCCAACGCGACATCCAGATTGACAGCCACGGGCTGCTTGCTGCAGGGCTACGGAAATCCAGCCTAAGTAGCCTCAGTCCCTCTCGCAAACGCGGGTGTGTGCGCCCAGTTGTGGGCCAAACGGAATTCGCACCCTTTAGTTGCTGTTTATCTGAACAAGACCCGAAGGGCAGTTTAATAAATCCTTTTGGGGCGGACTAAAAATTGCCAACTGGGACCTGGTGGAGCCGGCCTTCCGCGAGAGAGGTCATGCTCTAACGCTCCAGGCTCATTCTGAAAGGTCCGGGAAGTCCTAGCGCAGCCACTAAACCTGGGCGGGGCTCGAACCTCCTCCGGCGCCGGAAACGTTCGGGGCGGGGCCGCTGCGCCCGGACCCGTTACGTAGGGCGAGGCCGTCGCGCGCAAGCGCAGTTCGTAGTTCAACGCCGGTTCTAGGACCGCGCGGATGACAAGAGGGGCGTCTCGCGGGGTCTAACCCGGGAGCTGCAGCCTGAGTCACGGCCCCGCCCTCCGGAGCCGGACGCTGCGGGAGGCCCGGGAGCTGCAGACCGCCGGACAGCAGGACACAGAGCAGCCGGCCGCGGGACGCACGAGAGAATCGGTGAGTGTGCAGCCCATACTTCCTTGCACCCGCAGCCCCCCTACCCAGCGAGACCCTACGGTCCTGGTTTCTGGGATTCTCCGAGATCCAAAACGCCAGGCCTGTACGGCTCTCGTCCCATCTCGGGGCCTCCTCCCTGCCTCTGGTCTCATGACCCGAAGTGCAAGCTCTCATAGATCTAAAACACATGCTGTAAGTTCGTTCTTGAGGCACTTAGAACCACAGTGCCTAGATCCGTGCCCCTACTTCTTGTGGGAACCCCATTAACCTGGGCTTTCGGAGCCTCGATTTTAGCCCAGTGCTGAGAGTGTCTAAATGCTCAAATCCACACCCAGAACTTCCTAAACCCCGCCCTGGGGCCTCCAGGCCGAAATCTCTTATCTGAGCCCTCAACCTGCCAAAGACTCCTTCATTCCGTGCCGGAACTCTGGATCTAAATTTGAGCACCTAGACACTGAATACTTCTGACATCAATTTGGGACCCCATCAGGAGAACCTCACATCTGTACCTCCGCCTGTTCCCTTTCCCCTTTGGTACTGGGGATTGAAACCAGAGCTTTTGCACCACTCTACAACTCCAGACCCCCATCCCTCCCCATTTTTAAAACAAGTTGTGACTAAATTGCTCATCCTGGGCTCAAACTTGGCGATCCTCCTTCCTCAGCCATTTAAAGTGATAGAATACAGGCATGCACCACCACGCTTCTATCCCTATCCTGAACGGTGCTTGTGCCTGCACTTAATCCAGGGCTCCTTAAATCTGATGGGTACTTTTTAGTCCCCAAGGTGTGTGTGTGTGGGGGGACTCAAACCCGATCTTAAATTCCTGTCCAACCTACCCTAGCACAACCTTCTGTCCGAAGCCTAGACCCCTAGTCTGAGCACCTGCTTCCACCCGAGGCCTCAGATTCTTCCTCTGCATCCAACCGCTGGAAATGCATATTTTTGCTAGAGGGAGTGGGTTCAGGGGTGAGGCGGCTACCTGATCCCATCTTTCCTTTCAGGATCGCAGCCATGTTCCTGGTTAACTCGTTCTTGAAGGGCGGCGGCGGCGGCGGCGGCGGGGGTGGCGGTGGCCTGGGCGGCCTGGGCGGGGGCCTGGGCGATGTCATCGGAGGATTCCTTGGCGGGGGCGGCGGCGGCGGCGGCGGCGGTGGTGGAGGAGGAGGCGGTGGTGGCGGCGGTGGCACAGCCATGCGCATCCTGGGCGGAGTCATTAGTGCCATCAGGTAAGGCGGAACCTGCTGCAGGTGGCTCCAAGGAGAATAAAGTAAGATTAACCTGGAGACTGACCTGGGAGCCTTAACTGGGCTGGCCCAGGCGGAGAGGATGGCCTGGAGGGCGGATTCTGTGGAGGCTGATGTTAGATACGGGGCTGGGGCTCTGCAGGGGTGTGGGCGATCCGAGCCTCTGCGGGTCAGTAAGTGGGATGCGGGACCCGAGGGCCGGGCCGCGTCGGGAGGCGGGGCTTACCGTGACTGGGCGTGGCCTCCCTTGGCTAACTTCAGGATTTATGTTAAACCGTAGGAGTCAAGGAGTTTGGCGACCCTTCATGGAGTAGGACTTAACTGGGGTACCCTGGGGGCTAATGAGGAAGTGGGTGCAGGAGAAGCCAAGGGCTCAAGAGGAAATAGTCCAGAAGGGGCTGGGCCTCCCTGGAACTGGCTGGGCTGATGGAGAAAAATGCCTTGATGGATGGATAGGGTGGGATATAGCACCAAAGTAGCCGTGGTCCCCAAGCAGTGATCTCTCAGAGAAATGGAAGCTCGTGGAACTAGAGCAGGATGTTGGGAAGAGAGACACCTGGGAAGGGGAATGTTAGAATAGGGTCTTTGAGGAGATGGGCCCTGGGGGAGATGAGGCCCTGGGAACCAGGAGCAGGGCTTTGATAGTGAGTCCTGGAAGGGGCGGGGACTATTGAGTCTAGGTGAGATTTCGGGTTGATCCAGACATCAGCTGATGAATGGATGCACCTTAGCTGGTGTGGATTCTACTGTGGGTCTGGGAGGACAAGTAGAGTTGGCATGGTAGAGGGAGAGAAGACAATTGTGGATTGGGACAGATGGGGAAGAACTGGGGAAGGCTGGAAGGACCGAATAAGGAGCGTGGGGGCTGGGATTTGAGGGGTTGGAGTCCCAAGTTCTATTGGCGCTGCCTGTTGGTGGCCCCGCCCCCCAGCCTAACTCCCTCTTGTCTCCTCTTAGCGAGGCAGCTGCGCAGTACAACCCAGAGCCCCCGGTAAGCTGCCCTGACAAGTAGACTCCCCCTTCTCTTTCAAAGATTTTTCAGGCTCCACCTTGGTTCCTAGACAATCCGTCTCTCTTCTGAAATTCCTCTGCTATTAAATCTTCCCTTTACAATGTCCTTAGCCTCGGTTCTCAACTATTACTCATTCCCATTCACCGATTACCCCTTATTCTTCTAATAATCAGGCTGCCTAGCCCACCCTGACTTTCCCACTTAGGGTGCTTGGATGTGGGGAGCCAGAGCTCATCTCTTGCCCCTGCCATAAGCTCTGTTTTTCCTGTAGCCCCCTCGTACCCATTATTCCAACATTGAGGCCAACGAGAGTGAGGAGGTCCGGCAGTTCCGGCGACTCTTTGCCCAGCTGGCCGGAGATGTAAGTAACCCAGAGTCCAGAGTCCCTAGCCTTGTCCTAAGCCTTCCATGCATCCCCATGGTCTTCCTTGGCACATATGTGCAATGACCATAACAACCCCAGAGTTCCCATTCTTCAAGACTGTGCCTCCTCTGAGCTGCTCTTCTGCCTACAGGACATGGAGGTCAGTGCCACAGAACTCATGAACATTCTTAACAAAATTGTAACCCGACGTGAGTGACCAGGGTCAAGGCCTGGGACAAGTGTGGTGGGAGAGGGCTGGGGTGGCTGTGATCGCTGGCCTCTGACCTTCATCCTGTTCGCCACAGATCCTGATTTGAAAACTGATGGTTTTGGCCTGGACACGTGTCGAAGCATGGTGGCTGTGATGGATGTATCCTTTGGGGCACAGGCTGGGAGAGATCCTGGGTGGAGGGGGTGTTTCTGAGAGTATGTCGGACGGCCAAGGTATGGCTTTTACATCCAAAGACATACACAAACATACATCAGAACACATAGCCACCTACAGGCATGTAGTGATAAGTAACATCAGCTAGAACTTAGGTAAATGAACTGAAGCTTTAGGGATATCTGATGGACAGATGTGATAGTAATTATTACACTACTTTTTTTTTCCCCCCTATATTTAGGACAGGGTCTCCAGGGTCTCACTATAAAAATTGGACTCATAGTGATCCTCCTGTTTTCAGCCTCCCAAGTGCTGGGATTATAGGCATCGTGTCACCACACCCAATCTCAATCGCTGTCTCAGTGCAGGGCCAGTATGGCATGCCAGGGATAGAACCCCGACCTCTGTGCTCTGCCTAAGCAGGCACTTTAGTCTGCTGAGCTATCAGGTCGTCCTGTTATTACAGTACTTTTGAGTTTATTTTCTTTCTTTCTTTCTTTTTTTTTTTTTTTTTTTTTTTTTGAGGCAGGTCCCACTGTAATTCAGGCTGGCCTAAAACTCTAGCCTAGGCTGGCCTTAAACTCAGTGATTCTGCTCCTTCCGCCCCCTAAGTGCTGGGAATACACATATGTACCATCATAACTGGCCTCAGTACCATTAAGAAAAGAAAGTTAGGGGCTGGGGAGATGGCTTAGTAGAATAAGCACTTGCCTGGCATGTGCAAGGGCCTGAGTTCAATTCCCGGTTCTGCAAAAAAAACAAAAACAAGGAAAGAAAGTTAACTAGTGGTATAGAAATTAGGATCCAGGTCTTTTAGACTTAGAATTCAAGCTTATCAGGGCTGGGGAGGTAGCTCAGTGGAATAAGTACTTGCCTGGCAAGCACAGAGTCCTGAGTTTGATCCCTGGTATCACCATAAAAAGGAATTCGGGGCTGGAGAGATGGCTCAGTGGTCTAAAGCACCTACTTGGAACAAGCTTGGCAAAGCACAGGGACCACGGTTCGATCCTCCAGCACCACATGCCAGCCAGCCCCGCCCCCTGGTGGGCTGAGCTGACCACACACATACACACACACTAAATAAATGTAATAAATAAATAAATAAATAATTAAAAAAAAAAAAAAAGAATTCAAGCTTATAAAATTTATATGCACCTGTATATACATACAATACCCAAGACAAGAGCACACCTTTGTACATGGTATATAAAGGAATGTGTATAGGAACACGTGTGTGCTTGCACATGAGCCAGTTGTTAGCTAATCCTGGATACATGAAACCTAGCGCACAGCATAATACAGGCTCACACATAGGTCCATGTCATGTGACCAAACAAGGATTACACAGGGTAAAGTGATCCAGTTCTGTCCCTCAGCTGGGCTACTGACCCCTGTGTCTCAGTTTTCTGGTCTAACATGAAACAAGTGATAATTGTTACAGTGAACTGGAGCTATGTACAAAAGCTTTCCACAGGGGCTGGAGAGATGTCTCAGTGGTCTAAAGCACCTACTTGGAACAAGCTTGGCAAAGCACAGGGACCGCGGTTCAATCCCCCAGCACCACATGCCAGCCAGCCGCGCCCCCTGGTGGGCTGAGCTGGCCCCACACACACACACACACACACACACAATAAATGTTAAAATAAAAAAAAGAAATTTTTTTAAAAAAAGCTTTCCACAGTTTCTGGCACACAGTAAGTTATCTGTTGTGGTTGCCATGGCTTTACCCAGGTTTTTTAGCTTGGAACCTGTCCTCCAGGAATTCTGCAGGGCTGGTGTCCAGAGGACTTAGTAAAGTGAAACTCCTGAGTAGCTTAGCAGTTATTTAGCTTTTAAGCACAAATCTAGCAGCTACTTTCTATCATTTTATTCTCTTAATTTTTTTTTTTCAGAATCGGGAATTGAACTTGGGCCCTTGCGCTTGCCGGGGAAGCGCTTATTCCACTGAGCCATCTCCCCAGCCCCTTTTAATGTCTTTTTAAGATAGGATCTCAACCCATTAATATTATACACTGCTAGACAGTGTTAGATTGTTTAGTTGAATTCAAACACCTATAGTATTTAGATGCCAATAGAATATTCACCTCTGACAGGACAAAAAAAAAAAAGGATACAAAGGAAAGATCATTTTGTATTTTTATATATAAAATAGGATAAATTTACAGCTACTTTTGCTTAATTCAATGAGAAGAAAGAGGTGTATTAACAGTGTTTGGACAGGATATCCTGTCTGCTTCTTATACTATGGATAACCACTAAGAAGATATCAATGTACAGTGTATTGACTATCAAAACTGTCTTATTAATCAGCTGTGAAACTGTCTCATTCATATTTATTTCTCAGTAAAAAAAAAAAATATTAAAAAAAAAATAAGATAGGATCACACAGTGCTGTCCAGGCTGGCCTTGAACTCACTCTGTGGCCCAGGCTGGTCTCAAACTTGAAACAATCCTCCTGCCTCAGCCTCCCAAATGTTGGTATTATAGACATGTGCCTCCATGCTGAAATTTAAGGCAGAGTTTGAGACCAGTCTGGGCTACCAAGTGAGCTCAAGGCCAGCCTGAACTGCATAGTGTGAGACCCTGTCTCAAAAAGACACACACCCACAAAAAAAAAAAATTACGGCAGTTTTTTTGTTTTAACATGTCCTAAAGTTTATGGTAGTTGAGTTTCTATTAGAGATTTTATGAATGAGAACTTACCAGTAAGTAAAGACCTTGTAGCTTGGAGAAGTGCAATATAATTTCCCATGTTACATACAAAGAGAATTTTTGTTTGGAAATATATGTAGATACCAGAGTGTGGTAGCACATGCCTGTAATCCCAGCACTCAGGAGGCTGAGACAGGAGGACTACTGGGAATTCAAGACCATACAGGGCTGCATATTGAGTTCAAGACCAGACTGAATTACAGAGCAAGACCCTGTCTCAAACAACAAAACCCCAAAAGACAAACTGTAGACACACAATAAATAAAGCTGGGCTGAAGCAGGAAGATGGTTGTGAGTTTGAGGCCAGCCTTGGCTATACCATGAGTTCAAGGCCAGTCTGTGCTACCCAGCCAGACCTTGTCACAACAAGCCAAAAAAAAAAAAAACCAAACCAAAAACTAAAAACCACACTCCAGGTGACATGATTAAAGTGCCGAATAGGGGCCAACCTGATAGCTCAGGGAACTAAAGGGTCTGCTTAGGCAGAGCACAGCAGCCGGGTTGATTCCCAACATGCCATGCTGGCCCTGCCTCCGGGGTGTGCCAGGATGATTGAGACTGGGCGTGGTGGCGCGTGCCTGTAATCCTAGCACTTGGGAGGTTGAAAACAGGAGAATCGTGAGTCCACTCTACATAGTGAGACCCTGTAGCCCCATAGACCCTGTCCTAATTACAGAGAAAAAAAAAAAAAGTGCTGAATAAGAGCTGGCATTTTAGCCCAGATTCCCTGGTCTGCAGTATTGTCATCTACCTATGGCAGTGCAGTGCACACACCTGTCATATTGTTCTTTTATCATTCATTTTGTTCTTAACGACTTCCTGCCAGAGTGACACCACAGGCAAGCTGGGCTTTGAGGAGTTCAAGTACCTGTGGAACAATATCAAAAAGTGGCAGGTGTGTGGCAGCCTTTGGAACTCTAGCACTCAGACCCCAAGTCACAGAGCCCCCATGTTCCATGGTGCTCAGTCAGACTGTCCTGTCTGTCCTCACAGGCCATCTACAGACAGTTTGATGTTGACCGATCTGGGACCATCACCGGCAGGGAACTCCCAGGGGCCTTTCAGGCAGCAGGTAGGCCTGGTCGGGACCTCATTTGCTTATGTTGGGGGAGGGATGATGCAGCTGCACTTGCCCCTGCATCCTGGAAATGCGAGTGGGTTGGTCCCTCTGGCCCTCACACCTGAGGGGCTAAACCATTCCCAGGCTTCCACCTGAATGAACATCTCTATAACATGATCATCCGGCGCTACGCTGATGAGGGAGGGAACATGGACTTCGACAATTTCATCAGCTGCTTGGTCAGGCTGGATGCCATGTTCCGTGAGTGCCGCTCTAGCTCTCTTCTTGGATGGGTATTTGTCTACTTCCACGGGCCAAGCTGTCCTCTAGCCTGACCTGGAGGTGGACAAGGCTAGGGGTGAAGCAGTGACCAAAATGACCCCAGTTCTGTCCGTCCTGGAGCTCACGTTGGACTGTCTGCTGACAGTCACCAAGACTCATGTGGCCAGTGTCTGAGATCCTAAGGGAAGCCTAGAGGCCTTTCCAGACCCAGGAGACAACCAACATGCCCTTGAGGTCAGGGAGGGTGCTATAGGTAAGGGCCTTTGCAAGGAGAGACCTATAAGATAAATAAGTTAAACCCAGCAGGGGGACAGGGAAGAGAGTTGCAGGTCAAGGAACTGACCCATGCAGGGGCCTAAAAGAAAAGGAAATGGTGCTTTGGGTGCTTTTTGGTGGACTCTAGTTCAAAGAGTGATGGGACTGGGGATGTAGCTCAGTGGCACAGGGCCAGCCTGGCAAGTGCAAGGTTCTGAGTTCAGTTCTTGGTACCAAGAGGCAGAGCCAGGGATACAGCTCAGCAGCATAACCCTGCCTGGCAAGCACAGGTCCTGAGTTCAACCCTTAGTACTGCAAAAAAACAAACAAACAAAAACAACAACAACAAAAAACACCACACAAACAAGAGGAGACAGAGTCATGAGGACTTTATTTTTCTGTGGTGCATGCAATTGCTAGGGCTTGAGAGGCTAAACATGAATTCTACCACTGTGAAAGCTTTTTTCTTTTTTGGTACTAGGAATTAAATGCAGGGCCGGGGAGATGGCTCAGTAGAATAAGCACTTGCCTGGCAAGTGCAAGGGCCTGAGTTCAAGCCTTGGTTCCACCAAAAAAAAAAAAAGGAATTAAATGCAGAAGTACTCTACTGCTGAGCTATACTCCCATCCCATCCCTTTTTGTTTTGAGAAAAGGACTTGCTAAGTTGTCCAGGCTGGCTTTGAACTTTGGATCTTTCTACTTCAGCCTCCTAAGTAGCTGGGGTTTCAAGCCCATACCACAGCAGGGCCCCATGAGGGCAGTTTTAAGCATTAATGTACTGGACCCTTAAAACATCCCTGAGGGCCAGTGTAAAGGTACTGGGTTCACTCCTCAGTACTGGAAAATAGAAAGTAAAATAAAATAGTTGATTTATAGAGAGCACATTAAACAGTGGTTGGCATGGAGTAAACACTCAATGAAGCACTATTATTCTTTTGTAGATTTTCACTTATCCTATAATGCAGTCCCTCCCCCACCCCTCACCCTCCACCAAAACCTTCCTTTCTCCTCTAGGTGCCTTTAAATCTCTTGACAAAGATGGCACAGGACAAATCCAAGTGAACATCCAAGAGGTAAGAAACCCCATCAGGTGTGAGTGCTCAGTTCTGAGGCCCCCCTCCCCCAGTCCGGTGGCCTCAACAACCCTGGCCAGGAGCTGGCTCTCCTGCCTTCCCTGCTGCTCACTGTGCCTTCTGTCTCCAGTGGCTGCAGCTGACCATGTATTCCTGAACGGGACTCACGCCTGCCGCTGCGCTCAAGGAGCCACCATGGACCCTTGGTCTCTCCCGGGGCCGATCCTATCTGCAGTCATGTCTGCATGGCTCCCACATCCACGGGCCTTTCTTCTCCCAGCCCTTGGCACCCAGCTTCTCGGACCACAGCCAGGTCCCCGTGTGCCCCAACATGCCACGCCCTGAGTTGCCCTGGCTCTGAGACATCCTAGTATGCTCTGCCCAAGGGTCACCACACCCATCTCACACCCTCTCCATTACCTCTCCTGTACCTGTGCCAAGCCCAATACTCATGCTGCTCCCATGCCCCAAGGGCCATCGTAGTTCCGGGAAGATCACTTGTCCCTGACGCACTCCTTCATAGTTACCACCCAGGCAGCCAAGTAAACTCCAGCCATTGGGCCGACATACCCCAGTGCCTTTGCCTGTACTCTGCTCCAGCAGGCCAGGCCCAGGAGGAAATAAATGCGCCCCAGTTGCTACTCCCTGTGGGATCTGACTTGTGTTCTGAGGTGAGGTGGTTTGGGCTCTGGGGAAAAGGGGGTCCTATAGAGTGGGTGGGGTTGGAGGTGTCTGCATGCCTGTCTTGGGGCTGCCGGATGTACTCCTCCACCCCCACATTTGAGTATGTATGTGTTCCCTAGATCTTTATTTTTTTTTTCTTAATATTCAGACAGTATCTCTAAGTTGACCTGATGGGACATTTGAACTTGGATATCTCTTCACTTCTGTCCTCTGCATCTTCTTATATGGGGTTCCCCTGAGTTATAGCCTGGTTCTCTTTTTTTTTTTTTTTTTTTTCTTTTTCCTTTTTTTGTGGTACCAGGGATTGAACTCAGGACCTCGTTCTTACTGAGATTCCTCATGTGTTTTTGACTGTTACAGCCAAATCCCAGTCCTGTAGGGGCTGCCAGTGCCCCTGTCTGTTCCCAGGGCCATGTACCCCTCCACCCCCACACTTGAGTTATGTGTGTGTTCCCTAGATCTTTAATTTTTTTTTTTTTTTTTTAATATTCAGACAGTCTCTCTAAGTTGACCTGATGGGACATTTGAACTTGCAGTCCTCTTGCCTCAGCTTCCCTCAGTGCTGGAATTATATGTGTGCTACAGGTGTGCACCATTGTACCTGATGTGTTTTTTCTCTTTTTTTTTTTTGGAGTACTGGGTGTGGGTGCTCAGTTGAGCCTGGGCATAGAGGTACATACCTGTAACACCTGTAATCCTCACATACTGGAGGTGGAGGCAGGAGGATTATTTTGACTTTGAGGCCAGCCTGAACTACATAGCTAGATCCTATCTCCAAAAAAAGAGGGGGGCCTTCAAACTGAGCTGCATCCCCAATCTTTTTGAGATGGCCTTGCTAAGTTCTCTGGGCTGGGCTGGAATTTGCAGTCCTCCTGCCTCAGCCTTCTCATAGTGCATGTCCCCTCCCCCAACCCTCCAGCTTCAGGATTTGGATCAATCTGTCCTTCCTTGGTTCAGCCTTCGTGGTGTCCTGGGCCAGGCTCAGCATCCTCCTCCTCTGCTTTGTTCCTCTGCAGAGGGAAGGGCTGCCACCCTGGGATACAATGCCCTGTCCCAGTCATGGACACCACTGCAGGTCGCCAGCCCCCGGAGCCTAGATTAGCCCAGGGCTGCTGTTTAGAATCTTCAGCAGAACCCCAAGAGGCAGCAACAACCAAGGAGTAACCCTGGGCCTGCCTGAGGGACCAAGGGCAGCAGACATCCCTGGCTGGCAGGAGGGTGGGCTGGGACTGGGACACACACACACACACACACACACACACACACACACACACAGCTAGGTTGGGTTCTCAAGTCTGCATATTTATTGTTTGTCTAGGTCCTCCAGGCTGCTTGGTCTCACTTCTTGTGGGGGAAGGAGGCCCAGCCCAGGCAGTACAAGCTGTAGGCGGTGCCTAGGAAAGGAGTGAAAAACACGGAATGAGACCCCAATACCCAAGTCCCTATCCCATTCCCTCCCCAGCTCCCAGGCTTCTAAGCCCCTCTGCAGGTTCCTATCACCGGCCTGGGGCCCAGGTCCGGTGCAGGAACCAGTTCCCCTCCAAACAGGGCTCCCGGTGGGGATTTCCCCACCCCCATCCTGGCCCTTGCATTCATCAAGGACCAGGCTAGGAGCTTAAGGGGACAGGAACCTAAATCCTGTGTAGCTCTGAGCCTAAACGTCACCAGCCTGGACCCGGCCACCCCATTCTCCGCAAGCTGCTCAGGTACATCAGCCTCCCCCCCCCCCACTCACCCCCCAGAGTCAGCACCATGGTCAGTCGGTACAGGAGTTGGTCGGCAGTCCCGCCTTTCAGATGCACAGGGAGATCATTGTTCTCCTGGATACCGGGTTGGGGAGGGGTCGGTGAGGAGAGAGGTGCCGACCGCTCCCCAGACCTGGACCCTAGATCCGCTGGGAGGCCCAGCCCCTCTCTCCATTCGCTCCACCCACCTGGAAGAGTTTCTGTTTCTCTGCTACACGGTTCTGGAAGCGGTGCCGGGCACTGGAGCTGAAGGAGCGAATCAGAGCCTGGGAGACCTGTAGGGGGAGAGGCGGTAGGAGGTGGAGGGGTGTCCCCAAGTGGGTCCTGCGGGGGCAAGTGGTGCTGACAGGTGGGCAGGGTCTCACAGGCAAGATCTGAATTGCTGAGAGCAGGGGCAGGGGAGGGCCTCCTGTCAAGAAGAGGCCCAGACCGGTACAGTGGCACAAGCTGGTCATCCCAGCACCAGGGAGTCTGAGCGAGAGAAGCCCTTATTGTTTGTCTAGGTTGGAGACCACACTGGGCAATTTAATGAGACTTTGTCTCAAAATAAGAAAGGTACTTGCAGCACTTGGGAGGCTTAGGCAAGAGGATCGATACGAGTTTGAGGCCATTGCTGAACTACTGTCTAAAAACAAAACGTACAAAAAAAGAAAAGAAAGGGTCGGGGATGTAGCTCACTGCTAAAACCCGTGGTTTAATCCCTGGTATGAGGTGGGGTGGTGGGGAGTGAAGTAGAGGACACATGGAGTGAGTCCAGGCTGGAAGTTGGCTGGCTGTCTAAAAGGGGAGAGGACCCAAAAAGATTCCCGTTTGGGGAGTCCCAAGTCCTGAGGTGCTAAACTGGGTGGTTGCCAGGTCAACATGAGAATAGTGGGCTACAGGGATGTCGAGATTTTGGAGGTTCCCTCAGCACTCTATAGTTACCTAAGGAATCTTGGGTAGGAAAAAGACACGGAGCTACATGCGGGTAATTTCAGCACCCTGGGAAACTGAGGCAGAAGGATCTCTTGGCAAGTTTGAACTCAGGGGGCGGGCTGGCTGGCATGTGGTGCTGGGGGATTGAACCACGGTCCCTGTGCTTTGCTTAGCTTAGCTTGTTCTAAGTAGGTGCTTTAGACCACTGAGCCATCTCACCAGCCCCAAGAGCGATCTTAAAGTAAAAATGTTTAACAAATAAAAGGCTGAGAATGTGGTTCAGTGGAAAGACTTTGGGTTCAACTCCTAGCTACACACACACACACACACACACACACACACACCCCTCCAGGATAGGGATAGGGGTTTTCAATGTTAGAGGAACCCTGGCTGAAGGGAGAGCGGCTCTGGGCCACGTTAGCTTGGGCCCTGGAGTAGAGGTCCCAGGCTGCTTAGCAGGGATCCTGAGGGGGGCTCACGTTCCAAGGCTCCCCGATCCGATCCCGCACGTGTCAGGAGTCCCGTGTTAAAGCCAGGGTTTCTCAACTGGGGTCCCGGCCCAGCCCGTGGGGGCCCTCACCGGTAGGGCCCTCATTCTGCGTCGTCCTGCGGCTGGAGTCACCTCCCCTCTCCGCCAAGGACACACACTGCCCTCCCCTCAGGGTAATCCCAAACCACGCCTGCTGTGACCGCCTTGCAAGACAGCTGACAGCTGCAGGAGCAAGGCCCGCGGTGTGCGTTGGGGGGTCGGGTTTGTCCAGTGGGGCTCAGGGAACACATGACTCCGTCCTGCGCGGCTGCAGGAGCACCTGGCTGCTCTCACCTCACAGTTCTGTCGGCCCAAGGGGACCAGGAGAGAACCGCAGTACTGCGGTGACTGTGGGATTTTTCCTGGTGAGGTTACAGCTCCCTCCTGGATCTCTGCCTCCCTACCAGGCTGGGAGTGGGGAGTATGGATGGGGGCTGGAGACAGAGGTAAACCAGGATTCAGCCTCCTTGTTCTATTTAGAGCAAGTGCACTTCTAAGCCTTATTTTTGTATTTATGGGTGTTTTGTTTTTGTCTTTTTTGCTTTTTGCTTTTGTGTTTGTCTTTTTGAGACAGGATCTCACTAAGCAGTTCAGGCTGGCCTTGAACTCACAGTGTAGCCCAGGCTGGGATCCAACTCAGCAATTCTCCTGCCTCAGTCTCCCAAGTACTGGGATTACAGGTGTATGCCACGATGGAGGGCAAAAATAATGTAGTTAAAACCTCTCTTGAAAATATTTTCAGGGGCTGGAGAGATGGCTCAGTGGTCTAAAGCACCTACTTGAAACAAGCTTGGCAAAGCACAGGGACCGCGGTTCAATCCCCCAGCACCACATGCCAGCCAGCCCCGCCCCCTGGTGGGCTGAGATGGCCACACACACACACACACACACACACAATAAATGTAATAAATAAAAATAAATATTAAAAAAAAAAGAAAGAAAATATTTTCAGGGCTGGTGAGATGGCTCAGTGGTCTAAAGCACCTACTTAGAACAAGCTTAGCAAAGCACAGGAACCACAGTTCAATCCCCCAGCACCACATGCCAGCCAGCCCCGCCCCCTGGTGGGCTGAGATGGCCACACACACACACACACACACACACACACAATAAATAAATGTAATAAATAAAAATAAATATTAAAAAAAAAAGAAAGAAAATATTTTCAGGGCTGGTGAGATGGCTCAGTGGTCTAAAGCACCTACTTAGAACAAGCTTAGCAAAGCACAGGAACCACAGTTCAATCCCCCAGCACCACATGCCAGCCAGCCCCGCCCCCTGGTGGGCTGAGATGGCCACACACACACACACACACACACACACAAAGAAAAATTTAAAAAAATTTTTTTTTCAAATGGTGCCATAGTGAGTTTTCTTCCTTGGTTCTGCTTCTGCAGATCTGGGGATTGAGTCCTGGGTCTGATGGATGCTGAGCAAGCCCTCTGCCACCAAGCTACATCCTCAGCCCTAAGAGGAACATACAGGGAACTAGAACATTATCTTTCATTTCAAAGATAGCCTTCTTCTATTGTTAAACATTTCACAATGGCTTTGGCTAAATATCAAGGTTTGTTAGGTTTGTGTTCAGGGAACGTGTTGTATGAAACACACTCATCCAGGTAAGGGATGGGAATCATGGTACCTAGAAAGTGACGTCCTAAAACTTGGCACTGTGGCGACAGAAAAACTGCAGAAACAAGATTGCTCACTAATCTTGCTCTAGTCTTGCCCTGTGAAGTGTGGTTATAAACTGTCCAGCCCACCTTGCCTGAGACTAGATCATGAAAACCTTGGGCCAGCCAAATAGCTCAACGGATTAAAGCACCTGCAAGCAGACACAGGGGCCGGGGGTTCGATCCCCAGACCTGCCATGCAGGCCGTGCCAGCCCCGGGGCATGCTGAAATGGCAATTGAGACTGGGCATGATGGCAAGCACCTGTAATCCCAGCTCTTGGGAGGCTGTAAACAGGTGGATCACTATGCGTCTGATCTAGTAGTGAGACCCTGAATACCCTGTAGACCCCCAAAATACAACAAACACAAAAAAGAAAAGAAAGGACCTCACTGAAACCTGGGTGTTGATGGTGCATACCTGAAACCCCAGCGCTCCTGGAGACTGATGCAAGAGGATCACAAGTTCAAACCTAGGTGAGCAATTCAGCAATTTATTTTTATTTATTTTTAGTGTTTTTTGTTTCAAGGTCTCACTATGCAGCGCGGACTCATAGTGATCCTCCTGTTTTCATCCTCCCCAGCACTGGGATTATAGTTGTGCACCACCATGCCCAGTCTTGGTTGCTGGCTTAGTGCTCCTGGGGGTGGGGCTGGCACCACTTGTGGTGCCAGGGGTGGAACCCCAGTCCCTGTGCTTACCTAAGCAGGTGCTTAGTCTGCAGAGCTATCTCACTGGCCCAGTTTAGCAACTTGGACCCTGCTTCAACATTTAAAAATTAGCTAGGTGTGTGATGCACTGGGAAGGCTGAGATAGGAAGATTGCTGTGAGTTGGAGACCAGCCTGAGCTACAAAGTGAGTTCAAGGCTAACCTGAACTGCATAGTGAGACCCTGTCTCAAAAAGAACTAACTAAATAAATAAATAAAAATTAAAGGGTAGGGGGTGCCTAGAGAGGACCCTTTGTCATTTCACCCCTAGTGCACCACCTTTAAATTATACACTTTGTCCAGTTCTGCTTCTATCTGGCTGTCCATGCCTCAGTGAACCTACGTACCTAAATAAACAGTTTCCCTGGGTCCTTCATGTCTGAAGCTTTGTTACCTAAAACACTGACTATATTCCGAGGTCCTTTCTTTTGCTACTGTGTGCTTTGTTATGCAATATCAGCCGTGTACCATGCTGCGAAGTACAGAGAAAGAACTTCAAGACCTGTCTTCCAGCAGCGGACAGGAACCTTATGGCTTTATAGAAAAGGAGGACAAAGGCGAGGGTTAGGAGTTTACATAGCTGGGGCTTTGCATAAAACTGGCAGCATAGATAATCGTGGCCAAAGCCTGGTCTGGTTAACTCTTTCCTCAGGGCTGGTTCTACCAGGCTCTTTAAGTGGCCGTTCCACTCCTGCCTTAGAGGGGACAGCCTTGTTCCCTCGCGGGGTAATTGCTCCAGTCTGGAGGTGACCTTATGATGCTGTCTGTGCTGCTCTGGTTTTCCTGGAATCCCAGGTGACTGCAGGTTTGGGCCAATGGCTGGAGACTTCTTGGCATCACTTGAAGGGGACATTGTAAAAGCTGGCAATAGGGTGACACTGCAGATCTTAAAAATTACATTAGTTACTTGATGTTAGTCTTGAAGGAGGATAAGGTAGATTAGATCAATTGAAGGCTATTAAACTTTGTATCACTAGCGTCTGGACAGACATTCCCTGAGTCATTTGCCTGTGTGCAGAGCTGATCAGAAGTTTTATATAATAAAATGAAAGTGGAGGTGCCAAGCTTTATCCTCCTCTTTTTTTTTTTAATACCAGGAATCAAACTCAGGACCCTGCACTTGCCAGGTAGGTGTTGTGCCACTATGCTACATCCCTGGCCCTCATCTTGCTTTCAGCGACCCACCCTCCAAGGCCATGTTGCATTTTGACTTTTTCCTGTTCCCCCACCTCCACCTCTTAGCATCCAGATGTGCATACTCGGCTCTTCACGCTGGACAGTAGTGCAGTTGCTGTGCTACTCTGTGTGTTGACTTAGGCTCTGTTGTATCCACAGCATCTGGCATATGAGTGAACTTGATAAATAGTTGTTAAAGGAAAGATAATCTAAATGTCCCCTGACTTGGTTACTCCCACCTCTGGGGTAAAATAGAAATTCAGTGTTTCTCCTAACTTCTAGCCTTCGCCAAGTTCTTTCTGTGCATTCCTATGAGTGTGGCTGTGCATCTGCCCACTCACCTATTGCTGGCTAGCCATTGATTAATTGATTGTACTGGGGACAGAACTCAGGGTGTTAGTACGGAGCTATATTCCCTAGCCTTTTTTTTGTTGTTGGTTGCTTTAATGTTGAGACAGGGATCTTGGAAAATGCTAAGATGTTCTCTCTCTCTCTCTCTCTCTCTCTCTCTCTCTCTCTCTCTCTCCCTCTCCCTCTCCCTCTCCCTCTCCCTCCTCCTCTCTCTCTGTCTTCATTTTTCCTGGTACCAGGAATCTATCTCAAGTTCTTGCCCTTGCCAGGTAGGCACTAATATTAGTTACTTTCTTGTTGCTGTCACAAAATTGCATGCAACATAAAGGAGGAGAAATCTATTTTGGCTCAAGGTTATGGTGGTTCCAGTTCATGGTGAACTGGCTCCAAGGGAGAGATAGCCTAGAGAAAGGGTGTAGCAGGGGAGAGCTGCTCAATGCTTGGCAGCCAGGCAACAAAGAGAAAGGAGGGAGGAGTCAGGGACAAGAACATACCTTCTAGGTCACACTCCTAGTCACCTACCTCCTCTTAAAAAAAAAAAAAAAAGACTATTAGGGCTGGGGAGATAGCTCAGTGGCATAAGAGCCTGTCTGACAGGCACAAGGTCCTGAAAAAAAAAAGTTAACAAAAAAAAAAAAATCCTATTATTTGTTTTTATTTTATTTATTTATATTTTGTTAGCTGAAGTTTTTTATTAATTCACAATTACTTGTCTTCTGGTTTGTTGAAGCAGTAAGTCAGACAACACTTGCCACAATAATGTCTGTCAAGGGGGCTGGCAAGTGTTGTCTGACTTACTGCTTCAACAAGTGCTTATTCTACTAAACTATCTCCCCAGCCCCTATTTATTTATTTATTTATTTATTTATTTATACTGAGTTCTTCTGACTAGGCCCCACCTCCTAGCAGCACATTCTGCTAGGATTACATCAATGGATTGATTAATGCCCTGTGGGAAGAAAAGAGAAATCAACCTAAGGACTGGACCAGAAAGTTTGGTTACTTAGTTTATTTTTGTTTGCCATGGCAAAATATCAGAAGTTGAAAATTTTTAAAGAATAGAAGTTTCATGGTCAGCGAGATAGCTCAATGGACTAAGCACTTGCTTAGGCAAGTGTAGGGGCCAGGGTTGGATCCCTGGCACCACATGCTGCACCGGCCCTACCCTCAATGAACCAGTGATGGAGTCTGGGCGTGGTGGCACAGGCCTGTGATCCCAGAACTGAGGAGGGAGAA